TTTTCTATAAAGCTACCCAGGCTCAGGTTCTCACATAAAACAAGAAGCAGTGCCTCACAGAGATGGAGTGTTGATTCCCACATTTTTTGTTAGCATGCCATCAATGATTTTCCATCAGATCTGTGAGCGTCTCCTGATGGACAAACTGGTACTTCAAAGCAGAGAAAGTGTACATTAGCCAATAGCTGCCAGGGAATGGAGAACTAGTCATCATAAGGTCAATCACTTTTTTGCTTTTGTTTTGCTGTGTGGGAGGAGTACTTTTATAGGCATTTTGGTCATTTCATTAAAGAAAATACTTATTCAGAATGGACATTTTCGTCTCTCTTTGAAAAAGTAGGGGGTGAGGAGTCTGGATTTGGGTGAAGATCCATGGGAGCTCCCATACAACTGAATGGTGCCTCCAGTCCTGAGCTAAGGTTAACAAAAAAGAAGGGTATCCCATACAGAAAAGCATGGCCTGTGCCTAAGTATTATATTGGCAAAGCTATACTTAAATTAATATATCAAGTTTAAAAATTTGCCTCTAAGTAAAAAAGTTAACTAGGGAATCCCAAACAGAGAAGCAAGGCCCTTGACTAAGTGAAATAGAACCCTGCTTGAAATGTGTTTGTTTTTCTGTCAACTTAAGCACATGCTCTCAATATATTGGTTTTACTTTCAGTTAAATAGTGATGTGTGCATATCTTATGAGTGTGCAATTCCATGAACTCTCACAAATCAAACATACCTACATAGCCAACACAGATCAGGAAACAGAACATTACCTTTCTATCACTGCCCTTCTCATAAGCTACAGTCCTAACTTGGCCTTGCACATCTTTGTTAAATATCACTATCTGGTCTTAGCCACACTTTTGTGTCTTTAGTCGCAGGCTGATGCCTCCATTAGGGTGAAATTTAGGGACAATTGCGTGGTTCTGGGGGAGCTGTGAGGGGACAGCACCTGGAGCATTGCGGTGGAGTATGGATCCATAGAATAGAGCACAGGTCAGCAGACTTGCTTTGCAAAGAACCAGATAGTAAACATTGTTTGCTTGGTGGGCCATCGTGTCTTGGTTGAAACTCTAAATGAATGTCGTGACTGCATTCCAGTAAAACTTCATTTATTAAAACCAGGTACTGGGCTATGCTTTGTTAACCCCTAGTGTAGAGCAAGCAATATCTGTGAAATGTGGGATATTACATGAAGAACATCAAAAATACTTCAGCATGAAAACCTTGTAAAATCCTAGACCTTGCTCTAACTAAAAGGCAGTTAACTCATACACTGGTTATTCGGAACACCTCAAGACAGCCTTAGACTTAGATTTGCTTATTTCTATCCTTGGTCTAGTTTCTAACTTTCAAAATAATACAGTAGTCAGCAGCAAGTTTGGAAATGTCCACAAGCAAGACTATTTCTGTTATATTTAGCAACATTGCTTAAGGAAAAGCACTCTGAATTTCACACAAGTTTCTAAATCTCAAATTCATTAAAAGTAAAGTTTTGCTCGAATAAAATATTCTCTAATCAATGGAATTTGTACAAATCTGAAGGATTTCTATATTTGACAATGTAACCATTAATTTAAAGTCTATTACATTATGAATTGAAAAGAGAGAGACAGATAAATGTAGCAGCACGTTACTTTCCATTTTTAAAACCACTGGTCATTCTAGTATGCTTCCATTCAATTCTGTTTCCGAAAAACTACTCTTGTTTTGGGACAAAATGAAATGGTTTCCATCATCTTTAACTCAATGGATTAGATTCTTTATGGCCTTGGCAGAGGGTGTTCTAATGTCTACTACAGAAAGAAATTATGAGAGGTAACAGTGGAATTTCTATGAAGTTCCTGTTTAATCAAAGAATGCTTGACCTGCTTAGTCTCCTTTCTAGTATTCCTTCAGAAAACTATGAAAACATATAGGGATGTCTGAAAATTAATGTGATTTAACAAAACATCAAACAACTATTGCATATTACCTGACAACATTTATCGAGTATCCATTGAGTTAATTTTTTGTGATTATCTTGTATAACTGGGAAAGTAACCATATTATTTTCTTTGTCTACAGAATAGATTAAGCATCAGGTATTTTATTTTGTTTTGTTTGTTTTATTTTTTGTGGTAGCACTAAAAATGGTAAGACCACCTCACCAACATGTATGTCATCTTTGACTCCTCAATTTCCTTTTTCCTGTTTCGAAAATATATAATTCTACATGTTCTTCTTATTAACCCTACTATCTACACTCTAGTCCCCAAAAGTCACTTTTCAACTGGATTATTGCAATAGCCTCCTACCAGTCATTTGCTGCCAAAATTGCCCCCACTACAGTCTGTTTCACACAGTAGCTAGAGAGACACATTTAAAACACAGATTAGGTGTTTTTACCTATCACTTCAAAACCCTCTCACAGCCTTTGTTTTCTCCCCTAGTTCATCTATGTGTTCTTATTTATTTGATATATATTTTGTCTTTTCTACCAACTAGAATAAGTTCAGTGGGAGTAAGGAAAATGGGTATGGAGGAACGCAAAGAGTAGATGGGTAGAAAAATTGCCTTGAATTATTAGATATAAACACACCCCTCTCCTTATTTGACAATCTGTTATTGTTAGGATTTAATCAGTACTCCTTATTACCCTATAAAAGAAATGAGGTTCCTCACACCTTCAAAGGACATGTACTAAACGGATAAATGCAGAGTTCTAAGTAGAACGTGCTACAATTGACACATTTATTTTTTCTTTGAGATAGTTCCTGACAATAAGAAAATACTCACTCTACCCTCTCTTCCAGACACACATACATAAAAACCTTTTCCCATGTAACTTCTGCCTCTGTATTTAAGTTTACTGGTATTTTTAGACTATGCAGAGACTCTGAACTTTCTCTTGCCTAGTCCCAAATTGAGATCCACTGGTGTGTTACTTAGAGCACTTGGAGTAACACCATCATATAACTACTGTTATTCTACAAAAAATAAATGTATGTAGTTGCTTTAGTTGGATCAGGCTGCTATAAAAAATATCAATGACTGAGTGGCTTAAACACAGAAATTTATTTCTCATAGTTCTGGAGACTGGGAAGTCTAAGATCAAGATGATGAAGGCCAATTTGGTTCCTGGCGAGAACTCTCTTCCTGGCCATGTCCTCCCACGGCAGAGAGAGAAAGAGGAATCATGCTTTCTAGTATCTCTTTCTATAAGGGGACGAATTCAATTATGAGGGCTCTGCCCTTGTGGCCTAATTACCTTCCAAATGTCTCATCACCAACTATAATCATATTTGGGGTAAGGGTTTCAACATATGGATTTGGGGGCAACACAAACATGCAGTCCATAACAGTGGTCTACTGCTGATTCCTGGCAATTGAATAAAGCAAAAGTATTTACTTAAACATTTCCAAAGAAAATTAGGCCCTAAACTCACTGCATCAAGTAAAAATCAAGCAAAATAATACAGGATTGTATTTAATATTTAGGATTTTACTTCCACTCAGATTAGAATAAGCACAGCTGAATATTACAGCTCTGCCCCTTATCCAAAGGGGAATTGTTGCAAGATCCCCAGTGAATGCCTGAAACCATAGATAATACCAAAACCTATGTATAGTATTTTTCCCTGTACATACATACCTATGACAAAGTTTAATGTACAAATTAGGAGCAGTAATAGACTAAGGGAGACCTCAGATACCAGCCTCGTAACATCACCGAGCTGGGCACCATCACCATCTTTAGGCCTGAGGAGGTGGGAGTAGAGACAGGTTACTGGAACCAGGGTGATGGGAGTCAGGAGGAAGAGAAAGTGCTTTGTATGGATGGCCACCAGACAAAGCTGTGACCTTCACTTAAGGATTCAGCCAGGCAATGACAGAGCTACCAAATGAGTTGGGGTAATAAATGTCCTGACCTCACTCTCCGCCCTTCCTCACTCCTACCAGAGATCCTCACAGACAAAATTGGTATAGACCACAGCATTCAACCTCTTGTAGCATAACTCAGAGCAGGGACAGATGTAGACTGAATTTGGAAGAATAAATGAAATAGTTGTATCATATGCAGCCAATCAAATGTAATTAGAATTTGCATTATCTGTCTATAGTATTGAGCAAGCAAATACCTAAGTGTCAAATCATTGTGCATTCACTCAAATGAGCTTGAAAATGTCAGCCATTCCATAAGTCACTAAAAATGCAATGTATGGACCTTATTTTCAAGCTGTTTATTTATTATAATAAGCAGATTATTAAGTTAAGAGAGTTATATACGGTGTGGTCAGTAATGAAAGTGCTATGATCAAGAGAAATGTAATTTTTCTATTTTATATATGATGCACGTACATATATACACATATATTGCATGTGGAAATATATATAAAAATATCTCTCTATATATCTCTGTATCTCTATATAGATATATAAAACTTTAGAATCAGTGACTCTACAACTTTTACACCAGAACACACACATATGATGTTAATATATGCAACACACTTTCTCATGTGCCTACCCAAAATTATGACTAATTCCTTGTGCTTGTACTTTATTCTATTATTATATTTTCCACCCAAAAATGATATCTGAATGCAAGGGAAAATGGAAAATTAGAATGATACTTTGATAAAGTTTTTCAATTTGATTTGATTGTGCTATTTTTAATAACATATATTTGTAATTTATTTTTTGCAATACACAGTTGTGACACAGTGAGTCTCAACTCACTTATTGAGAACAGCTACCTTACAGTGCACTATGACCCACACAACTTGAGATCATACCCAGCAGAGTAGGTACAAACAGGTTGTCAATCATCCAGACATGCAAATAGCAAATGTTCCTTTGGTTTCCAACTCTCTCCCTAGATACCAAAATAAAATTTGTGTTAACGTGATTATTAATAGTATTCAAAAGTATGAAGCATCCTGTGAAATGTTGATACAGGAAGAGGAAAAGCCAAACAAGACATTAAAATAATTGTTTTCCAGCCATTTTAAAACACCTCCATGATCACTTCTCACCCTTTTGGCTAAGATCAAATGTAGTATCTGTTCTTATCAGTTTAAAATGTCTCCATGAAAGAACACCTGTCTATGGAGAGAATATGTGCACAAAAAATATTTGATGGAAGAGGAGAGTAACTCTCTTATTCACCCTATCAAGAACTTCCTCACTTTCATGTTCCATAATGTAAATAAAATTTTAAAATTAATATTATTACATTGCCTTGTGGATTAAAGCATGTGAATTTTATTAAACCATAATTTAATGAGTCATGGTATCAATATTTTTCATTCTGCTTTGCTTCATTATAGACCATAACTAAATATAGAAAGAATATCTACAAAATGTATAGGTTCTCCCCTTACTCTCTTCTGTTTTTATTAGTAGTTCCAAGGTTTCTAGTATTTGTTTATTCTGTACATGAAAAGGTGTAGCAAAAATACCTTGTGCTAATGTGCCTAAACAAGTGGTAGAATCAAGCTCAAACAATTTGACACACATGTACAGTGTGTGTGTGTGTGTGTAAGAGAGAGAGGGGCACATTATTACTTTCATTACTCTGTGAGTTTGTTGTTTGTGTAAATAGCATAATTTGAAGCAGTAGAATATAATGAAATGATCAATAGCTAACAAGGCTGGCTGGCCATCTTCATAGTCTTTCAGAAACATAGAAATTGTTCTCTGGTAGGATATTCAAAATATTATCATTTTCCATGAGTCACGTATTTGGTTCTCGCTGCCTACTGCTTAGAGCATTGCTGTCCTAAGTGGAATTTGTTAGCTTAAAATAGAACCTTTGTGCTAAACTGCTCGCTTCCATGAGCAAGCAATCCTGCTTTGTTTTGTCATAAATGCTTGGGGAAAGTTAAACATCTGCAAGTTCAGATGATGCTCAGAACAAATGACCCACAATAATCAGTAACTCCGGGCACAGATGAATCCAAACTTGTATTATCTTTCCAGGAAACCAACATAAGCTAATCAAATCAAACCCAGAACTGTAGTAAATATTTAATGAATAATTAAGCTTTAATTCTTTTCCAGTTTTGTGATGCATTAATAGCATGTGATTTCTAAAGGTTGTCATTTCAGCCTGTATTTTTCTTGAGACCTAAAATTGAATTAATGTTGATATTTTTATTTTTATTTCAAAAAGAATATTAGAATGAACCAGAAGATATATCAAGAAGGCATTTTTAAAACCATTAATTAACAAATTCTGAACCCTTAGAATCATTTTCTTCCTAGAAATCAAAACCCAGTGAATTTAATACTCGGCCAAAATAATCAGTGAGTGAATAGTGATGGCAAACTAAGTGTCACCTCACAGAGCACATAACTGTACACAGAGGACCTGTGCCAGGGTTTGGTGCTTGCATCAACAACCATGGTTTAAAGTCACTTTAGGAAAACCACCTCCACTTTTTGTTGGTCAAAATATTACATCGGATGTTTTTTCCTTCAGTATCAGACAGTATGTATGAAGATCAAAATCAATGCATTACTATCTTTCATAAATAAAAAAGTGTTATATTTTCAGTTTAGTGGTTTATTATTTTATGTCTACTGTATTCAGTAAGAAAAATAGATGTACAAGACTATGCTGAACTTCACAAAGTCATATATTTTATTTTTGATTACTATTTGATTTGTATAGCTTTATAATGCAGCCTGTTGTGTTCTCCACCAGGACAAAATAGGTTTCTATATTTTAAAATGTATCATGTTCTTCTATTCTAAATTGATTCCTAATTTATATAGTGATAATTTGCTCACACATATTTAGCTTTAATATGTATTTTTCTTTGTTTGCAAAACATTTTTAAAAGCTTTGAACTGAAATAGAGACAAGATAAGCCAAAGTAATGTGGGCCTCCTTATATGACATGTAAGTGTAGTAAGACAAATGGCCGTAATTGTATTCACCTGGCAGAACCATTTACACCTGATTGCCATAGAAAACCATGCTGAGAATGGAAGACCAAGAGAAATTTAATTTAGTGCTACTGCTAGTCAGTTCCTCCAAGACTAGTTTCTAGTCTCTTTTTCTTGGAACTGTTTCCTAGAGTCCCCAGTTGTATCCTCATATTTGCCTCCAAATAACACCTCAGAATGTTCTGCACACAAATATTCACTTCCTCTCTTTGCCATTAAACAACTTTAGATAAAGCACTCTATTTGACATGAACAATGGACAATTTGGGCCATTTACTTAACCCTACATACAATATCAGCAGAAAATTGCCATTTGGGGGTTTTTATTTTTCTTGACTTCTCAGTAGGATTCAATATTGCTAACCACTCTAACTTTTGTGCTCTGCTCTACCATTTTACAGGCTTGTCCACCTGCACTCTCTTAGTAACTCAAAACTCAGACTTAGCCCTCCTCTTACCATTCAAAAGCTTTTTCTCATGGAGTTACATTCCCACTGAAGGCTTTGATTGCCACCCATATACTAATGATTCTCAAATTTTATTTCTAGGCGAGACCATTCTTCAGAATGTCAAGACTATATATTTCAATCTCTATATAAGCTTTCTATTGGGATAACTTAATGACCCATATCCAAAACTAAATATGGGTGTCGTTCCCAGTGTTCTATACCTCATTGAATACTACCAACATCCATCCAATTGTAGTGGATGTATTCTGGAGTCTTTTTTTCCCTTCAGGTTCAATCCACCCTGTTGAGTCTTTCTCCACAATGCACGCCCTCTTTGTTTTTTTCTTTCCTCTTCCAGGGCCACCACCCTAGTGAAAGTCACCGCAGTCTTTCTGCTATGCTATTGCCACAGCTTTTTAACTGGCTTTCTACATCTACTCTTATCTCCTTCCAATCACTACTCAACCTAGAGACAGAGTTATCTAAAAATTATCTGCCTAACTTTATCAGACCATACTTCCCCCTCTTTATAAAAATAATCCATTGGCTGGCTTCCTACTGAGTTTATGATGAAGACCAAAATTCTTGCCATGGTCTTCCAGATCCTATGGTCTTCCTCCTACCATGCCTCATCTTAACATCATTGAGCTCTCAGTTCTCTGCATTCTAGTCGCACTGGCTTCTTTAAGTTCTTGAAGAACTGATGTCTTTTACACTGCAGACATTTTGGCCACTTTTACTGGAATTCTTCCTCTTCCCCTCGTATGTTTTCCCTTCATGCATCAGCTTATTAATAACCCTATCAGAGAAGACTTTCTTTTTATAAGGAAGAAACATCATTAAATTCTTTGCTGAAACAGAGATGAGAAATAAAGATTGCAGTACTTATATTCAACATGTTGCCATTCTAATATTTCCAGCCTCAAAATTAAGTTTAGGAAATATCTGTTCTTGCATACACCTGCACAGCTTACTAGATATAATTTTCTTGGACTCTCGCAATTTAACAAGCATTTTAAGATAGGTGAAAAAATTACATTTGTAATAAGGACAGTATACATTGGATATGAATGAGTCATGCATTTTTTTCTAAGCAGAATTTGGTGTCAGAATGGAATTGGATGGGATGGGATGGGATGGGATGGAATAAAATGTAATTAAAATGGTTTATGATCTCACTTGAAGAATATAGTGGATGGTAGAATCCTTCTAAAGAAAAGCTAAGTTACTTGTAGAGGAGGTTATAAAATAGTATCAGGCTGGGAATCAGAAGACCATGGACTTTGGTTCAATCACAATCTTTACACACCTTGGTTTCCATTTAAAATAAGGGACATGAATTGAATAAAGTGATGTGTATAAAAACACATGGTAATTGCTGAAGAGACTTGAACAGCAATTCCCTTCCCCTCACTTATCCAGCTAGAAATTCTCACTAAAGCCTTGCCCGAGTCAGACACGAGTGGTCAAAAGGCCACAGCAGTATGAAGCATTATCTGCCAATGTTGTTTCTAGACACCCTTTCTCTGTACCACATTCATGCCTCAGTGCAATTCTGCTCTCCTTCTAGCCCTCCCATCTCCCGTTTTTACATCTTTGTCTACCTAAAAAGCTTGTCAATTCATTTCCCACTTCATGACTCTTTTTCTAACTTGCACTAGTGTGTCCTTTCTACTGCTAACACAGTTCCTGTTCTAATGCTGTAATGGTCTTGTCCCCCTGGGATCCTTCTCAATCATGCCGGACAGTCACAGAATCAAATCCCTTTCTTTTCACCTTTGGGTCTAGGGTGTCAGGGTTAGAGACTGGAAAATCTGCATCTCACCATTATTTCAAGCAGTGCTGCTGAAAAGCTTTGCTCCTATTCCCACTTAAATTTTTATAAACAATATACCTTCAGTGTCAATGCAGCCTAGTAGAAAAAAAAGTTATTTTCTACTTATTTGTTTAGAACTGTACTGAACTAAAATGAACCAAAAATTATATACTTGCATAATTCTTTTTCTGAAGCTAGAAATGTTAATTTAATAAAAAGACAACTTAATGACCAAATTTAAGATACCTATAGTTGATTTTAACTTAAATTTTATGAGCCTTGAATGAATACACAGTTTTGAATTCACACTATTCTCCAACTACTGAAATTTACTCTCTCAAAAATCAGGGACATAGTCTTATGTATTTACTACCATTACCTACCCACCCCCCCAAAATAGGAACAATGCCTGAGACATAGTAAGTATTAATTAAATATTTTTCAAATGAATAGGCACCATTGCTAACCAAGGCATGCTTTTTAGAAGTCAAGAAAGTGCTACCATCATGTGAATAATATAATAGAGACTCAAGATACATTAACACAATTATTTTCTTAGTTTATAGAGTAGCTGCCCTTATCTGCTTTCTGTGGTTTCAGTTAGCCATGGCTAATCAGACTGAAAATATCAAGTAGAAAGTTCTAGAAATAAATAATTCATAAGTTTTAAATTGAGTGCCTTTCTGAGTAGCATGATGAAATCTCACACTGTCCTGCTCTATTCCCCCAGGATATGTATCATCCCTTTGTCCAGTGTATTCACTCTGTATGTGCTACCTCTGCTTCCGTCATGTCGTAGCCTTCCTAGTTATCAGACTGACATGGTATCACAGTGCTTGTGTTCAAGTAATCCTGATTTTACTTAATAATGGCCTCAAAGTGCAATTGGCAATTTGAATATGCCAAAGAGAAACTGTAAAAATGTATATGCATATAGGAAAAAACAGTATATAGAGAGTTTGGTATGATCTGTGGTTTCAGGCATCCACTGGGGG